ATTCCCCTCCTGTGGATGCGACAGCGCACGACCAGCTGGCCCCCAAACCAGAGGCTTGGTGAGGGTGAAGGGGCACAGTATAATTCCGATTCGTTGTTGCCTCCAAATGACTTCCCGGACAATGATCCTGTGTCAGTGGTTGTTAAACTGGCCAGGGACCTTTTATCCATGCATTTTGCGCCTCAATCGAGCCGAGCTCATTTGCCACTGCGCAACGAGCTGACAATGCTCTGGCGAGCCCGCCCCAGCGGACTTCAGCTTGACAACGTTAGGGAGCTCACTGTTGAAGAGGCGACCTTTGTGAGGGATGACATGATGACCTGGGCACTTCGCTATCTAAAACAAGCAGATGAGAAGAGGAATGAACCCTCTGAGAACTCGTTGCCTTTTAAAAATTTGACCGATTGTCTACGTCACTTCCTCCAGATGAGCCATTCGGAATCTATTCCCACAGAAGAAGTTCCGAATGCCCGAATGCTTGTTGACCCTATGGCGTTGACCGGTACAACCGGGGACACCGAAGGGTCCGCCGCAGCGGACGCACGACCTGCTGAACCGCAGGCCAATAGACTAAGGGTCCCCTTATTCTGGGGAGAAGTCTGACCTGTTAATCGCGGAAGACGTGGACGCTGATAATTGTCTAGGGGTCACGAACTTACTTATGCGCGTGACTATTCCGCCGACGCCTGATCATAAACAGCTCCGCCCTGAGGTGCACGACCCTCCGGGTCGAATGAGGAATGCAAGTCGCGCCATATCCACTACCGATGGGGGGCCCCTGTATCTTGATCGACAACAGCGGGAGAACACTCGTGATGGAACGAGTGATGAAATCCGATAGCAGGTCACTGAAGCCCGCAGGGCTGGACCAGTGCCCCCGCGCATCGCAGTTGTTCGTGGGCGTGCCTATAATGCGATCAAGGAGAATGCACGCATGGAACATGACCCCATGTTTGCGCTGCTTGGGGAGCTAGAAATAGAAAGTTTTGAGCAAACGCCCAGATTTCTAAAATCAGAGTTTGACTCGGATGACAGACCAGATTCCATCCCCCAGGAGGCCTACAATGCACTCATTCCCCTAGTACTGCCGAGTGACGCTACCGGCGCAGCCGAGGAAGCGGAGACAAGGCTGTTGAAGCGCGGCCGAAAGCCCGCCATGCTGGGAAGCTCGGAAGTTGGGCGAAAGCGCAGCCACCGAACGCACTCCCAAGCGCAATGCATTGGCGAGTGCGTGGTGTACTTGGCGAGGCGAGACATTGCGCCGAGCATGCCCGATCATCGGGCGGGTGGGTGCATGTAGGCGACCTCATTCAGAAAAGGACGAACGACGGTATAACACGCGCCACGACTGCATTTTCAATGCACGGCCTGACAACGCTGCCACCTGGAGAGATTGATGTTCTGGGCGTCAGGGCCGATGACATTGCGATTCTTGAACAAACGCATCTAATTAAGCAATGACGGACCTTTCTGAACACAGATGCCTCACGCGACATAGTCGTTGATGAGGAACACGGGGACCTAGTCATCACCATCGATAAAGATCAACGGGCTGCTCACCCCATGCCATTGTTCTTTCGTGCGTGTCAGGGACACTCTTGCTTTGCTCACAGCATCGAACGCATGCGTGCTCCTTGCGAGTTTGGGATGGCACGGTGCCATGGGCATCTGGTGCATGACGCATCCTTAGAAACCATAAACTCTCGGAGAAGGCACCATCAAGTTCCCGAACAAGCTTAGTTGATTGTGCAAAGCACCCGGCGACAGTCTTCTCATATTGATACCGACGAGGCTGGAGTTTCCTTTGGAATCGCCGCGCGCGTCCCTCACTGGCTCAGCCAGCGGAATGACGGTGAGGCTCCACCCGCCAGGGTATATCGGGCTGAGGGCAATGCCCATGCCGGCGGTGGACCTCCCAGTCGGGGTGTTTGTCCTCGTTCAACCACCCCGTCTTTCTGGGGCACCGATGTGGCGCACAATGAGAATTGGCAATCTGTTGTTGTCTTCATTGGACGGGTAGTGACTCGCCTTAGGTATCGAATTTGTCACGATGGAACTCTTGCGACCACGGGGCAAGTACGTTTCAATGATATTTCGCGTTTTGTGCAACTGAACGTGGTTGAACAAGTTGGCAGAAACGACGTGCCACAGGTGATGTGGACCTTGATATTTTCACAAGAGTGGTTTGCGTGGGAGGTTGCCTATTCGTCTGATACAATCAGAACGTGGGTCTTCTCTGATGAACAAGTGGTCGATGCAGGACAAAGTCCTTTGTCCGAAGGAGAAAAGGCCTTTATTGTGCGGAGAATGTGGGCTGACGATGGGAGGTTCATTTGCGCTCAATACCATGCCGTGAGGGCTGGTTTTGCATACTGTTTGTTTGCATTGCCTTACACCTGTCATATTCAAAACATACGTCAGAGCGAATTACTTACAATAGCCGGGAGAACATGCACTGGGTGCTGCATGGACGACACTAGGACTTGAAACACGCCTTGATGCCACCCCGAGAAGAGATAATCGATCTAAGATGATTTCTAACAGGCTAAGAGCAATGAACATGAGCTCCGCTGATGCTTTGGACAATTTGAGCAAGGCCGAACAGCATCAGCGCAAATGGGTTACTAATGAACATAGACGTTTCAAGACTGCTTCGGCTGGTGGTACATTCATCAATTCGCAGCCAGGGGCCGTTCCTTCCTGGCGACCTGACAGCGTCTCGGCATAGCCGCCGGCGCGTCACGAGCCATACTTTCAGTATCTTGAACCCCTCAAGCTCAGGTTCATTGACTGGCTGGAGCACCAGCATGGGGATGCTCACCCAACGGCTGCTCAATGGTGGCCGCTGATTGGGACGCCAGATCTGGACCGATATGCTCGCCCTACGAGATACTCTGCACCCGCCGTTTTCGATTGGGAACATGTTAGTGCAGACCAAATTCGATCGGAGACGGGCTGGGACCAGTGGGAGCGAGAGATGGAGGAAAGAGGATTTGTCATTCCACCAGTTCGAGTTTTGACGGATAGTTTGGAAGCAGCGAACCGAGCATCTGCATCGAACCAAGTAGGGGACATAGATTTCCGAATCGCTGCTGAACTTTATTATTTTCAAGCCGCAGTGATGAAGTAGTCTCGGAACGTGAAGAGAAGGCTGCGATATCGGATGGCGTATGCATCAACCATATCGCACAGCGACATCCATTGCTTATTCCGAATAGAAGCGTTGCCTTTTTTGTTTGGCTTGGTTGTTATTTCTGGTTGCATGTGTGGTCATACTACAACGATGAAACGTGCGAGAGGCCAGATGTTATCCAAGATGCAACACACTTTGTTCTGGAATACTTATCGATTGCTCCAAATACAAGCCCGTTAAACACCGACATTATTCATGACGCACCGCCATGACTACCCGAATTTGTGGATGTCATGTGGCGCCAACTGTTTGATCGCATCCCCACCCATGGAAGATCGGGGCGCAATCTGTTAGCAGTACGAGATGTCATTTTTATTCATGTCCGCGGGGATCAGTGTTGCGTTTCCGGGGTATGAGGTACAGCGTAAACCGCAATCTATTATTTGAATTGTTGGGTCCGAGCTGCAGTAGAGACATTTGACTCACTTCATCAGTGGATGAACGGATTAGGAAATCCTGCGCGTGAGACCGCACGACGGAATTGCCCAGGCATTCAAGAGGCCACGGTCTCTATACACGCGTCTACGGAGCCCCAATTTTGTGTCAAGAGTTGTCTCGCCAACAGCCTTTTTGGGGTCTTCAATGCTGATGGCGCCATCGGGACCACCAAGTGCCTTAAGAAGAAAAGGAGGAGAGTGGCCCGGCCAACTCTCCAACCGAGAGTCCCAGCCGAGTCGCCAGGAGATGCTGACGTAGCCCCAGTTGTTGAAGGCATTGCCCCGAGCGGCACCGCCGCCCCGGGGCGGCGAACTCAGCCATGCTCTCGCCCGGCATCGCGACCGAGGTTCCAGTATGGAAGGCAGTCTCATCGGGCCGCTCCCTATGCTCCTGCGTCTGCTGGCTCAGCCGCGTCAGGCAGTAGCGCCGGCTGGATCGATTATGACAGGACCCAGTCGCGGGCGGGAGAATCCTGGACTGAGGAGCCCACCCCCGAAAGACAGGCTGTAGAGCCGGTTGGCGGCCGCGCGCGCGACGGCGGCGGCCCGGGGCCGGCCGTGGACGGCGTCCACGACGCGACCGTCGACTGCGAAGACAAGACCGAGAATTAGGAAGGTCCACAACTCGGAAAGCCCGAAAACAATTGTTTCGAGGCGCTCTGCCCGCGCTCCGAGGGGCACTGAAAATCATTGAAAAATGAAAGCAGGAAGAGGAGGAGGAGGAGGAGGGGGAGGAGAGGAAGAGGAGGGAGACGGCGCCGCCGACGACGACGTCGGGGAGAAGGGGAGAGGAGGGGGAACCAGGAGGAAGGAAGAGGAGGAAGGAGGAGGAAGAAGGAGGAGGAGGAAGGAAGAGGAGAAGGAGGAGGAGGAGGAAGAGAAATGACGTCGTCGACGAGTCGTCGACGGCGGCGGCGAAGCGGCGGCAAGGGCAGGGACGACGGCGGCGGCGTCGCCTCGGTCCGCCTCGACGCTGCTTCGGAGGATGCCGAGGGGGGGGATGAGTACGTGATCATTTCAACTCAACTCTCTCGAATGCGTCGAATGCGATCTGTCTGGTAGCGCCCAGCGCAGAGAATAAAAAAAAACCCGACGACCAAAAAGGGAAACACCACCACGGGACCCTAGAGAGAATTAGGAGTCGGTCGTCGGGGGGTCCTAGCATCTCTGCACGCGCGGTGCAGCCGGCAAGAGAGTGCGCGAAACGGTACTCGACCGCTTGCGCGGTCCAGGCTGCCTGGTCCAGGCTGCATGATTACGCGACCTCTGTTGTTGTTCATCCGTCCTGCTTCTCTGTTTCTCCCCCTACCTCCTTCTCATCCTCATCATATCGATCCCCCTGAGGTCTTTGAGCTCCTACGGGGTCCTACCTACTTCAGCAGGTGAAGGTAATCAGATTTCTTCAGGCCCTTGGTGCCAGGGATGCCCTTATCTGCTGAGACCTCCTTAGCCTCGGGGCTGTTGCCGCTGGCCTTGCTGTTGATCAGCGCGCCGCTGCCGATCAACTCTTTCGGCGGCGGCGGCGTGATCTCCGCAGCCTGTGGCAAGCGACCCCCATTCTGCTATCCTCTCTCTGCTTCCTCCTCCTCCTCCTTCTCCTCCATCTCCTCCTCCTCCTCCTCCTGCTCCTCTTCTTCCTCTTCCTCTCCCTCTCCTCTTTCTCTTTCTCCTCCTTCTCCTCCTCCTCCTCCTCCTGCTCCTTCTCCTCCTGCTCCTCTTCCTTCTGCTCCTTATTCTCCTCCTATTCCTTCTCATCCCCCTAGTCGCCCAGACAAGTTAAACCCAAGTTCAAGAATCTCAAGACATCTCCAAAGGAAGAAACGATTCCAGAACATATCAAGAAGTCCAAGTAGTTTTCAATCGGTCGACGACGTGACGACCTGGGCCTGCGACCCACGGCCTGAACTCTTCATCTTCTCGTCGGGCACCGCGTAGCGCCACAGCTTCAGCGGAGCCTTGAGGGAGCACCCGAGGTCCGTCGGCACCAAGCACGGGACGTATACAGGACAGTCAGTAATGTCACCAATGGAGAGCCACTTGGGTAGCTTGAGCTGTAGACCCTGAAATGCAACTACCATTGGCGCCGCTGGCGGCACAAAAGGCATTGCCGCCTCGGGCTTCGGCTTCGCTTTGCCCTTGGCAACTGGAGCAGCTGGGACATCCCGCACTGGCACAAGCCATGCTGGGACTGGGCTGTCCGCCATGACCCCGTGCTGTGATTCCTCGTAGGCCAGATACACAGGAATTTGCAGGCTGGTCTCGGCGCCCACCGCGCACTTGCCTTTGACGCTGGCCGCATCACCCTCACCCCCAGGCTGAATAGAAACTCCACATATCGTCATAATGTGAAAACACTGCTTGGAGCGGGTCGTGGAGACGCAGCCAGCGAAGTAAAGTTTCGGCTTCCAGCCAGAGGCAGCACTGTCTTCTTTGAAGAGCTTCTCCTTGCCGATGACGTCGATGGTGTTCACAGCTTTTCCTTTGGACTGGATGAAGTTCGCATCAATCCTCAAGTTCGCTTCGTCTGCTTGGTTTGGCCGAAATGCGAGATTGAACAGATGGCCTTCGATCGCCAAGCAGATCTGCTTCACATAGGCTGAAGTCACCTCGCCTTTAGGAATTTTGAAGAGCCCATTCTCGTTGATGCCAGTTGAATGCTTTGTAGCAAGCAGGTCACGAACGGTGGCACCACAGCCAGACTGCTGGTCAACGAACAGGGCTGCATCTTGATAGCGAAGCACATCACCAATATTGCCCAATGTGACCGTCCTGTCAGAAGTAGGCTTGGCACCCAACCCAGGACCCGACGCAGCCGACGGCACAATGGCAGACCTCTCCGTCCCGGCAGAAGTGTTGGCGGCATCGGCTGCGCTGCGTACAGCATCGATTTGACGATCGAAAGCTGCTTGCGCATCTTTTGAGGCATCCTGAATTCCCCACAAAGTCTGAGCTGCGTTGCATGCCTCGTCTATGATGACGTACTCACCCTCCTCCGACTCACCAGTGATCTTGCCTTCAATGATGGCGTCGAGTATCATTTCTAAAGCGGAGTTCCAGGTTCCAAGCCACAACTTCCTGCCAACGCCTATGCAACGACAGTCCATCTGTAGCAGGGATGATTTGTACTGGCCCTCGCCCCTGAAGACCTGCACCGCGAGCGAGATTTTCTCCTTGGCAATAGCAGTCTTACCTCCATTAGTAGCCCACGTGGCTCCACGACCCTGGCACCTCGAAAGTAAAGCACACACGATTTCGATGACGCACTTGCCACGACAAAGCATGAAGTTCTCCATGGATTCCATTGTCGGAAATACAGTACTGGCTGCCTGAACAAACGACGACAACAACAAACACATGGTAGGATGTAAGTGTTTGTCACAAACACTTACATCCTACCATGTGTTTGTATTTTGTTTGTGGTTATTATAGTGGTTATTTGAAATGAGGCCTCTGGGATGACGAAGTCGCCGTACGAGTCTGGATTCGCCCACACGATTGCAATCTTGCCAGCTGGCGCCAGGTACATATCTGCAAGAGCTCTGCAACCATGCTCATCACCGAAATTAAAGACCTCACCGATCCAATCCATCATCTTGGAAATCAACAGTGAGTGAGTCCTGGTCTTGTCCTTCTTTGGTGGCATGTTGGCCTTGGCATATGCTTCGAAGAGTGACCAAACGCTGCTCATCAATTCAGGGAAGCATGGCAAGTGGGACACAGACATCTCGACCTCGCTGGGGTTGTTGCTCACAAAATCTGCCAGCACCTCAACGTACTCCTGGTTCGAAAAGAAATCTTTCAATAATTTCTCAGCGCCGTTCAAAGATTCACCCGACTGAACATCCGATGTTGTAGTTGCCACAGGAAAGGGAACCTGCACTGCCGAAGGGCTCTCCATCACAATGGCTGTGGCGATCTTCTTCGCCTCCGCCCGGACGGCCGACCAGGTGGACAAGGTCTTCTTCAGGTCTTTGAACATGACCTTCCGAAGGAAGCAGCGAGCAAGCTTGCAACAAAGGAGCACGACATACATACTAGTGGATCTGCCGAAGCTCCCGTGGAAACATGTGCTCAAACATCAAACATCACACAAAGCACGCCCTGTTTTGCTGAGATCGGCTGTTCGCTTCTACTGACTCCTCCTCTCCTCCCCTCCTCCCCCTCCTTACTGCCTCATCCTTTTCTACCTTCTCCCCTCCTCCCCTCCTCGCTCATCCCTTCCCTTCTCCTCTTCTCTCCTCGTTTTCCTGCGTCCTTCTCCTCGGGCTCCTACTCTCCCTCCTTCCCTCCTTCCAGCCACCGCCGCTGTCTGGATCAACGGTCCGAGATTAGGGCTCGGACGTGGCCCTCGAAGCTCCACGCGAACTCGCAGCAGATGCGGATGTACGTCCGCTTTGCCTTTGGGGGGGGCAGGACCAGGGAAGCACGAGCGCGTTTCAGTTTCTGGACCCCATCTAATGTTATCATTCTGGCAACACCCCATACTTACATGGAGCTGCTGTTGATCACTAGACACAAATAAATACATTGGCGATGAGCCGTGTCTAAGGAGGAATCGATATGCATTGATTCGCCCAGTGGCCGTCGCAATAACCACCAAGGTCTCTTCGCTCTGGCGCTGCTCGTCACTGGTGAAGGCGGCCGAACCCAAGGCGTCTTCAATGGCCGCGATCAGACCAAGCCACATGTCCTCAAACCAGCTGATGCTCTGATTGTCACTGGTGGATTGCATGGCCTGGACCGTCTCCATGTGTTTCAGCTCAACTGCGCCGCCATTACTTTTAGTTTTCTTGCTGCTCCTGCGCCCCGCGCCTCTGGGCTTCTTTCCAGTGGCTTTGTCTTTCTCAAGATCCTTGGGAGCGTCTTTTGCCTCGGCCTCAGTCTCATTTTTCTTAGTCTCCTCACCTTTATCATCGCCATCAGTCTTGGTGGGGAAGAGGCAGTCGAGTCCATCCATGGAAGTCTTCCTCCTGAGCCTGCGCGGGGTCGCCTTATCGGCAGCATCAGCAGCCCCGGCACTGTCGACAGCAGCAGCCGTGGCAGTGTCAGAAGAGCCGAGCGAGGATGCCACATTCAGAAGCTTTTCTATTTTCTTTTGTGCCTCTTTGTATACCTTTCCAGTCTTGATGTCTATCATCAGGATTTTGAACTTAGTGTCAGCCTCTTTAGGATCTCGGATCAACCAACTAGTGTTTGAAGCTTGACTGTCAAGGCCACGCTTCCAGTCATCATTACCGCTCTTCTGTTGCTTGGGCTTCGGTTGGGCATCGGCCGGCGGCGAATCCTCGATTGCAATGAGCTCATCCTCACTAGTGCTCTTGCGCTTCTTGCCAGCGATTGTAGGAACCTGGGCAACTAACCATGATCACCTCGTTTGACCCTGGGCGTCTAGATGACTAGACATCGGACTAATCCAGGACTCTCTAGCACCCGTCCCCACGCCCAGGCCGAGATCCAGACGCCCAGGGTAACGATGGATCGAGGTTGATTGCTAGTGTTTGCAAGCCATAGCGCCAAGAATTTGATCATTTCTTCGATGAGCATCCTGCCATCGTCCTTGGACAAAGTGACGAGGCCAGCTCTCAATGCAAACTCACCCTTGCCGTTCGCCTCGACGACCGAAGACGCAAATTTGCAAACAACCTTCATGCTGCCGAGTATGTGTTTGTTATTCAGATCTCCATCGTCGAACACAGCATGGTCCATCAGCCATTTGCGAATTGTGATCCAGCAGTCGAACTTCTGCTTCGAGAAAGCATTGATGACGAAGCAGTTCGTCTCGTATTGAATGCTCGACGTTACCAAGCCGAGCTCGATCTGCTGCTTGAAGTTCGATTGCATGAATGCCCACGTTTTCTGGCGGTAGCTCTCCTCATCCGCCTCATTGCTCTTTGCTTGGATGTGGTTAGTAAAGCAATGCGTATTCCATGCGGCCTGCATCTTCATAGTTGTCTCGATCACTTCTACGCATTGGATAACTTGGACTTGGCCGAATGTGAAATTCATAAAAAACTTCATCCAACTAATGACGTCCTTTGGAGTCGAGAACTGAAAGACGATCACTCTCTGGAGGCCCTTTCGCAAGGCTGCCTGCACATTTTTATTGCGAGGGTTTCGCTCGAACGCCTTATAAAAGGCAGTGGATAGATGCCCGAATGTAAAGAGCTGGTAAGGTGCTTGATCGTTCGCTGAGAGCGTCGCCATCGGTACTCCCCGAGCTTCCTGACACACACCAAATTGCAATATGCTTTGGATCTGTTTCTCCAACGTAGCAGCAGACTCCCGGTCGTTGAGGACGTGGCGCACGAAGTTTGGAGCTTTCGTGTCGGGGTCGAACCAAGGAACCGTGGCGTTCAGCATTGTGGCAACCTCTGCGATCTGACGAGACCACCCCGAAACAACAGGTGGGTATTCCAGGACCCTGGACCCTCACCGCCGTATGTTCTAGGACCCTGGACCGTCACCGCCCTGCGCATCCTCCTACTCGTCCTACTCCTCCTTATGCCTCCCCTCCTTCTCCTCGTCCTCATGTTGGCCACTCCCCCTCTTGTCGCTTTCGTTTGATGGATGAGCCAGGCATTTTGTTCCCGACCACCCCCCAAGTCTCTTTGCAGAAATCCATCCTGATTGCGCCGTTCATATTGGGCAAGCGCTTCTCGATGTCATCGATATCTGGGTCGTGTAAGCGAGCTAGAGCATGCTTCACAGAGTCTGGGCTGCTGACGAGCGCACTCTCCCCATGCCCTGAAACATCACCAGGAGAAGAGCCAGAAGCCATCTGCACAAAACTGGGCCCCGATTTTGAAGTAGAGCCGAGGGATTCTGAGAACGCAGCCTCCGAAGCTGCCTTGAGCAGGGATGTGTCTGCGGGCGGTTGACATTATGTCCTAGCTTCCTCGTTTCTCGATCCTAGACCCTCCTCTCTGCCCCGACCGCCCATCACTCCTCGTCCTCTCGTCCTCCTCTAATCCCCTCCTCGCTCCTCCCACTCCTCGTCATCTCCTCCCATCCCCTCTCCTCCTCTCCTTGCTCCTCCCTGCCGTCGCACAGTCTGACATCACGGTTTTTGCAGACCAACAGCTAGTGAGAGAATTGTGCCGCACTATACCGCGGCGTCCGAATAGCAGACACCCAACAGTCACGCATTCGAGAGCCCCTTCAACGAAATGAAAACACAGAAGAGGTAGCAACCGTGTCCGTGAAAAACACAGCGCACGCTATGACGACGCCAGCGACCTGCACGTGCATAGCATTACCAGCCTGCTTGCACACCCTTGTCCGGGAACGAGCAATCTGTAATTCCCTGAGGTGGGCGCGAGAGAAGCTGCACATATTCGCAAATGTATTGGGATCCAAAGGCACTGACGTAGCATCAAGGACGGGGAACCCCTGCAGCAGCAACAGCTCGGTCGGAGTGAACCAACGCTCAGCCTTCCGGATCCACTCCATGGACTTGCACGAGATGCAATACATCACCTCGGAGTCCGAGCCACGGAAGCGCTCCACGGGGTTCTGGCGGAAATTATGATATAACAGCAACAGAGAACATTGAGGATGCATGGAGAGAAGGGGAGAATGGGAGAAGCTAGAGGACGATGGGACGACGACAAATGCTGAGAGGACAATCAACATGCATCCCCAGGCCCAGTGTGTCCTGCGTGACGTTGACAACGCAATCGTCTGGCAAGTTGGAGGCCTCGTACTGTGAAAGGAAAGACTCCTCCTCACTGGTCAGGGCGGCCCTGTGGTCCCCCAGCTGAACTGCATAGTCAGGTCCCATCGGCTCTCTGAGCGTGCTCCACTGCGAGGCAGGGCGACTCGCTGACCACCTCAACTCGGATTCCACGTCCTCGTCCGTTGCCACCATGAACACGTGCCACGTGCATACCCGTGGCTTCACCACCAAAGCAATCACATTATCCAGCGTGCAGTGGGTGAGAGTCACACTGCGCTTGTGCAGTAGCAGCGTCCAGCGACGCTTCCTGCGGATAGGCCAACCAAATTGTGATGGGCATATGATGGTTGAGCTGATCACGTACATGTCCGAGAAAGCGGACTCTAGGATCTCGATGTTGAAATGGTCGCTGTTCTCGTGCACCATGATCGTTGGCTTGGTGCGCCGCATCAGAGTTGCCCAAGACACAAATGATTCTGCCGATTTCCCATCGGCTCGCCTACGAAGTCCAAGAGGCGAGAAGTCAATGCATGGCGAGCCGCATGCGTGCAACCTCCCAGGGGAAAACTTGCAACGCTTCTTGTGAACGCGGCAGTAGCTGTAGCCATCTGTGTTGCTGGAGCTCCGTGACCAGAAGCTACTCGAGGTGAGCGTCAAATCGCCCGAAGCTCGCCCAGCACTGACCGCCCCAAGAGCCAACGGTGTCAGAAACGATGTGATGTCGGAGAAAAGACACGATGGTGGACTGGGATGTGCTAGTAATTCTTCTTGGCAAGCATTGTCACATTCAATGGCAGAAACATGCTGCGGGTGCCTGACATCAGCACAGTTAGTCAATGATGCTAAGGCCGACGAAATAAGACTGATAGCCGTGCCAGGAGCGTCTATACCCGAAAACGCAGTACTGTATGTCAGATTCCTCAGCTTCGCCTGCATCTGCCTCAGATGATCTTCCTCTTCGCGACCCGCCCGGGGACCCCGTCGATGAGGACGCTTATTCATCCTCGTCGGTTTCGGCACAGACTTGAAATGTTCGGCAATTGCTGTAATCAGAAAGTTCGGCCAATTCATCAACTGCTTCAGCACGTCATGTGAGGCTGCGGCAGAAGAATCTAGACCAGGCTGCTGAAGAACAGGATGAGGTTGCCCAACATCAGAATTGTCTTGCCCGTCATGTTCAAAACAAACGCACCTTGGAAGCTCACGGGCTTGACCAGCCAGCTTCACTGGTGGTGATTGTGGCGCTGCAGCAGACGATTGACTGCTGCTTGCCAGTATACCAGCACCCGCAACACCATCTGGTG